TCAATTTCATTAATTTCTGCCCTGATTTTTGTTATTTCTACTTGTATTCTGGGTTTGGGTTTCGTTTGCTGTTGCTTTTCAAGTGTGTTGAGTTGCAATGTTAAGTCATTTATTTGTGTTCTTTGTGTATCTGTGTGTTGGTATGTGCATGTGAGTACAGGTGTCCTTAGAGGCCAGCAAAGAACATTGGATACCCTGGAGCTGTAGCTACAGGAGGTTGTCAGCCTCCCTAAGTGGGTATTGGGAACTAAACTCAAGTCCTCTGCAAAACCAGTACACACTCTTAGTCACTGAGTCATCTCTCTAGCTGATCATTTAAAAATTCTTTTGCCATTTAATTCTGAGATCTTGTTACCTTCCTATGTCATTGCTTTGGAAGTATTTTGGTCCTAATGCCCTATTTTAATTTATGAAAATGTTCTAAATATAAGCCTCCCATACAAGCTTTCCATCAATTCCTGGGAAGTGTTTTCTACATTGTAGCTTATAGTTTGGCTACGGAATTTAGCTGTACATGGAGAAAGTGGCTTTGTGCATTCCTTTTCTAATTTTGGCTTTCATTGTGTGTTCTGAGAGTAAGACATAGGGAAAGGTTTAATGTGTTTTTTTGAAAGCTGCTTTCTTTAAATCATTTAGCAGTATAGAATTATAATTTACTTATATTTCTGTATGTTTAGAACTCTTATTGAAAGTTTGAGGTAGCCCACTCACCAGGGCACAAAGAACAAAGTATGTGTGAAAGTGTAATAGAGTCTTACTATTAGAAAGTAAGACACATGAGGGTCTAAGTGGAAAGTAAGATCTGGGGGCAGATGAGTCAATAATATGGTATAGAACAGGATAGGTGTATAGACATACTACATGGGACACAAGTAAATTTTCTAGTACTTCCGTTGAAATAATGGAAATAAACATGTGAAATTAATTTAAATAATCTGTACATTTAAATCAATATACTTTTTGTACGTTTTTGTACTACATTTTTGAAATCTGGTATACACCTTACATTGAAAGCACATTTTAGTTTAGATTAGCCACGTTTCAGGAGCTCACTGGCCATATATAGTTAGTGAACACAATAATGGATATGGTAGTGGAAGAAACCAGACCATAGAGGCAAGTACAGAGAATGAGTACAGAGCACTGATGAAAGGGTGGACAGATCCAAGTCAAGGCAAACTGTTGCTCAGCCATCCTGTTCACTTGGAAAAGAGGCTTCAGCTGCAGCAAGGCCACGTAAATTTCTGCATTTCTCTTCAAAATGACATCACACTTTTTTTCTCCCAAAAGCAAGAAAGATGTGCTATTGAAAGTCCTGCTAAGACTATAAGGCTTTTCTTTCTTCTGTAGTGTCCTTTCTCAACTGTTTATTTTTATTTGCTAATTATTTTTCATGTCTTTTTGCTAATTATTATCAAAGTGAAAAAGTTAAAATGTTAAGTTATTAATGTTTTATTAAAATTTTAAGTTACTAATATGTTCTGCTGTCCATCTTTATAAATTGCAATATCATTTTAAAGATAAATTTAGTGATTCACTTTTCCTGTGGAACCACAAGAATAGTATTTCATTGTTTCATCATGTAGCCCTCTCGATATGTTCCACATTTGTGGAGCATAAAAGCACAATATATTTGGAAGCTAAATATACTTAGAAAAAATGTATTTTGACTGAACGTGTACATTTTCTTGTCATTATTGTCTTAAGAATATACAGTAATAACTATTTAAATAGAATGTATATTATATCAGGTATTTTAAGTAATCTAGAGAGTTTTAAAATACACAGGAAGATGTATATATATATCGCATGCAAATACTAAAGCATTTTAGAGTATCAAGGATTTTGATGTCTTTGGAAGTGTCCTTAAACTAGTCAGCTACAGATGCTGAAGGACAGCTATTTTTCATTATTGTTGCCAGACAATGAAAACAGTACACCAGGCTAGACTATTTTTATTTCCCCTCTGAGTATGGCACATTCTATCAAGCTTTCTGTCTTCAGCTTTCTGATGAACAAACAAGGACTGGGCAGAAGGGGACTATGGATCTCCTTCCCATTTCTGTATCATTATTTTCAGCAAAAGTCATTGACTAATATACAAAAGTAGGAGTAAAAAAAGATCCAATAGGGTATCGTGTTCATTTCTGTTTACTAGAATGCTACTGACTTCTTTCTGAGTTCTAGGAAGTTCTAATTCAAACACACACATGGCTTTCTTGACTGTCAGTGTCCTATTCCCTACTTAGTAGTAGGTTTAACACACTTGTCTTGCTCTTACACAAATTCCCTGCTCCTCTGTTTACATCACACTCCAATATTATACTGGACCTCACTTTCAAAACACAAATTGCAAGATGAAATTGTTAAGAATTTCAGGGTAGCAACAGTACAACATCAAACCAAGCACAAAGCCATTCTTAGTGTGGGAAGAGGCAAAAACTAGAACTGTCTTTAGGAAGAACTTGAGATAGAGAAGAGGCTATTTGAAATAGACTACTAAATATCTTAATACTGAGATTAAATAATCATTCTTTCTTATGTTTTCCTTTTCTCTCACAACAGCCAGATAGAGAAAGCTAAAAAATATTTTCTAGAATATAAATTTTCAGTACATCAAGATTCTTAATACCACAGAGAAACCAATAGATTATTAGTATAATTTTTGCATTTAGAAAACCCATTCTGCCATATGTGTTCAAAAAGAATAGTTTTGATCACTGGAAACTACTAATTCAGGAAATGTGAGAGTTTGGCATATTCTGTATCTCTTGTTTAGGCCAATGTTTGCCTAGGATTGAGGCCTGAGTGCTGAGACATCAAGAAGGTGAGGATTTGGCTTAGTTGAATGGCAAGTTGTAGGTCATCTGTGTTTCTAAAACCTCATCAGAAAGACTTAGAGAGGAGAAATATTATTTTGAAATGTGGCTGAAGATAAATTCATGGAGATGAGGGCTGTGCTACACATGGGTAGCTATGCTATATGCAGGGTAAAATAATCTGAAATAATGCTTAGTACAAAAATCATCACATTTAGAAAAGTAATATTAAAGTTTAGATTGATATTTCTCAAAGAATAGCTATAGACTCCCTGAATCTTATTTTGTGATGTAAAACTCATATTCTTATGTTTTAATACAAAATCATCAAATCAGAATTATTGAGAAATGCAGCAGGTCTTTACATTATAAACATGCTACCTGTGTTCTGCTTCTCCACATTAACTTTCCAGGCTCATAGTTCATGCCTTCTCTCCAAGGCAGTGAAGAAAACAAGTCTGTGATGGGGTAAGCATGCTTCTTTCCTTATAATCCACACATACTGTCTTGGGAATTTAGCAGCCTTCTGGTATTGAAACACCCAGACACAGTGCAATTCTGATGTGCTCACCCCTTTCTATTTACCATTTCTGTGTATTTCAGAAATCAACAAGACAGAAACAGACAACTACCTCAACAACTGTAAGTTTAATGTGCTTGATAAGACTGTGTTACCTGAGTGTAGAAAGGTAACACTCTAGACCATTTACACTTGCTCTGTGGTGGCACTATAGGGACAGTATAGTTGGAATGATCTGTGTACATCTCATGACATTTTATCTTATATCTGAGACTCATAAAGAATAGCAAAATTTGGAGAACTTCAGATTGGGTGTATAGATGCCTGTATCCATGAAATGAAAGTGAGCTGGACAACAATTAAGAGGTAAAAGTATTCACTTATTAATGCTTGATTTGCACATGGTTATATTGGCACAGTTTTCTGAAGATCATAGAACACTGAACCATATACTGGTGTTTTTCAGCTAGAGAGAGAAACTTCAGTCTACTCTAAATAAAATCATCTTGATGTTACTTGTTTGCAATGCAGAAATTTCAGATAATTATGGGCTTAAAGCATATTTTGATGAAATTACAGAAGCTTAGAAAGTATTTTTGCCCATATTTCAAAGGTGGTGATTCTAGACCTAGTCCTCTCCTCTCATAGCAGAGTAACTAATTATAATTAAAATAATATATTTGATAGTTATAAAATTAGAAATTAGCACACAGTATATTAATCTTTTCAAAAGATGGGAAGAAGAATGGCAAGATGACTCAAAGGTGCTTGCTGCCAAGCTTGATGACTTGAATTTAATCTCTGGGACTCACGTGGAGAAAGGAGGGAATCAACTCTTGCAGGTTGTCCTCTGACTTGCATGCGTGCACACACACACGTTATATAAACACATTAAATAAATGTAATTAAAAATTAAAATAGGATCTGGAATGTTGGCTTAGCTGTTAAGAACACTGGCTGCTCTTGCTCAGGACCCGGGTTTGGTTCCCAGCACCCTCATGGTGGCTAATGACCTTCTTAACTTTAGTTACAGAGGATCTTACACCTTCTTCTGACCTCCATAGGCATTGCATGACATAGGTGCACTTATATACATGTGGGCAAAACACTCAAACACATAAAATAAAAATAAATAAAATATTTTTAATTAAAAAATTTAAATGGAAAGAAATGTACTACCCACCAGCTCATAACATTAATTCATTTATAAACTTTACTAGGCCTAGAATCAAAATATAATTCCATCATTTAAATGACATATTTTTGTCACTAATATTATAAACTTAGTATATGCTGATATGATGTTAGGCAATAGGGATGCCAAATGGGTGAAATATAATCCTTGTGTAAAGCAGCTTACACCTACATTACCAGATACATGAGACCAATATATGACCACAAAATTATAAAATACTAGTTCTTACCAAGGTCCTTTTTGTTGCACCAAGGTATCATGCCCCACTGCAGCCTTTTCATCATGATTATATGAGGGAGCCTTACTGATATCTAGTGAATGTAGATCAGGAGTCCTACCAAACTTCATATGATGCATAGGACAGTCACTCATAACAAAAACTTACATGACTCAAAATATTAGTGGTATCCTGGTTGAGAAAGAAACCCCATTATAAACAACGTGGAGGAACAGCAATATCAAAACCACTCGCAAACACACTCATATTGAATGGGCTGTTGCTATGCTAGTATTGCTGTTAAGGAAGCAATACTAGCATAATCAAGGAAGTCATAATCCAGTTAGGAAGCAGAGAAATTGATAAAGAAGTCAGCCTAGGAGAAATGATGACTGATTTAAATCGCGCAGGATGAATAGGAGTTAATTGAAAATGTTTCATACTTTTGGATCGCAAAGCACAAGAAATTTGGGATGCAGTAGACACAATTTAATGCTTAAAATAACTGCTAATTAGTATGTCCTTTCTACTTGGCAGGCTGTGGGACACGAAGGAATAAATCTACAGTACAGACAAGTCTCAGAATTGTTGGTGGGACACAGGTAGAAGAGGGAGAATGGCCCTGGCAAAGCAGCCTACAGTGGGACGGGGCCCATCGCTGTGGAGCAACTTTGATCAACAGCACATGGCTTGTGAGCGCTGCTCACTGCTTTCGAACGTAAGTCCTGAACTTTAAAGATGAGTCAGAAGGAAAGTGCACTGAGGTTTTTGGTGTCTTGTTTTGTTTTTCGAGACAGGGTCTCACTATGTAACCGCAGCTGACCTGGAACTCACTATGGAGACCATCCCAGGGTGATCTCACAGTGATCCCCATGCCTCTGCCTCCGAAGTGCTGGGATTAAAGGTGTGCACCACTATGACCTGCTAAGCATTACATTATATATTTATGAAACTGTTCATGAATTTTGAGAGAGGTTTCACACAAACCAAAAATAATGGAATCATCACAAAAAGGAGTGGGAATCTTGCAAAGCTTAGTGAGAGGTTTTATAGTCTAGAAATGAAAGTAAAATCAAAGTACATTGCTGTGGTTTAATTATTCATCAACGAATTCCTGAGAGTTTGTCAAAGAACATAGAAACATTAAAGTCATCTTTGAATTTTGAGCTTGCTGTCATAGAGAACAGCATATTTATTAAGCACCTCTGTTGGAACTGGAGCCCAAGCAGATTCTGTTTGACTGCAATGAAGAAATTCCAAGAAAAAAGAACGAAGCAATTTGGAAAAAGCAAATTTTAAAACAGAGATTTCTTATATTACAGGGAATGTTGGATTTTAAATCCAGTATCAAATTATTGATGATGTATAGAGTAGTAATGCTTTGTTATTTTTGGCCTCTGTGGTTATCAGAGAAATATGCACACAGACTGCATGTAGTATATCCATTCCATGCAGACTCTTGTTTTCACTTGTTCCTCGTAGCCACTGATGACAAAAGTCCCGGGATCTACAGCAGACATTATGGTACATGGAGGGACATGTAACCTAGGTGGCTTTTCCACATGGAAAAATTCAGACTGGAAAGAATTTATTTCTGTTGATATGAACTATCACTTTAAAAATAACACCTTAGCTGAGCATGGTAGCTATACCTTTAATCTCAGCACTTGGGAGGCAGAAGCAGGTAGATCTCTGTGAGATCAAGGTCAGCCTTGTCTGTATAGCAAGTTCCAGGTCAGCTGGGATTACAAGGATACACTGTCTCAAAAACAAACAAACAAACAAACAAACAAAAAACAAAAATAAAAATAAGATCTTATACTGACACCTGCAGGTAAAATCATGCCATGGAACTGATTACATTGATAACATAGCAAGGTAGAACTTACTGTTTTTTTTCCTCTGCAGGTATAACGACCCATCCAGATGGACTGCTTCTTTTGGAGCAACAATAAATCCTCCGAAAATGACAACAGGCTTCCGGAGAATAATTGTTCATGAAAAATATAAATACCCGTCACATGACTATGACATTTCACTGGTGGAACTTTCTAGCCCTGTCCCCTGCACAAATGCAGTACATAGGGTTTGTCTCCCTGATGCAAACCATGAATTTCAGCCGGGGCAGCGGATGTTTGTGACAGGATTTGGAGCACTACAAAATGATGGTGGGCATCTGATGAGAAACTCAAATCATGACAACTTAATTTGGTGTTCTAAGGCATTTAAAGAACAGAAAGTGCTTCAGAACTTTAAGTCAGGCTCTCTGCCACTCAGAAGATGCATAAATTCTTTCCTGCAACAGGAAATGATACTACTTCAGCATCCTTTCAGCTACTATTTATCACGTTGCTACTGTCACTGTAATCATGCTCGTAAGGAATCTGAGGGAGTAATTGTCCCCAGTCACTCAATTTCTTTTTTTTTTAAGTGAGCGTATGCATGTGGTGTGTGTGTGTGTGTGTGTGTGTGTGTGTGTGAGAGAGAGAGAGAGAGAGAGAGAGAGAGAGAGAGAGAGAGGTATGTGTGCTTGCTGTGCTCACATGTGTGTGGCACATGGTATGGCAGAGGTTGATGTCAGAATATCTTCCCTCCTCTTTGTGTCAGAATTCTTCACCTATTTGTTTGCTTGTTTGTTTGTATGTTTGTTTGTTTTGGCTAGACTGGCTGACCAGCAAGCTCCAGGATCCACCTGTCTCCACTTCACCAGCACTGGGGTTACAGGCATGTGCCACCACACCGAGCTTTTGTCATTGCATTTCTTACTAGACAATTAGTCATGTAAGAAATCAGGGGTCATTAATATATCAGATTGCATAGATAAAGTAATCATGCAACTATCTTTCCCAAGCAAAATTTCCTTCCAATCTGAAGAATCACACAATATTTTACTTGAAGCTCTTTCCTAGTTACCTAAATTTTCATTTAAACTGATTAGGAAAGAATTTCTTCCAAATATTTAAAAATATTTTATTTATTATTTTTATTTTATGTGTTTGTGTATATTGCCTGAATGTATGTAAGTATACCTGTTGTCATGCAATGCCCGCAGAAGTCAGAAGAAGGTGTCAGCATCCCCTGGAACTGGAGTTACAGATTACAGATGGGTGTTAGCCACTATGTGAATGCTGGGAATGGAGCCCAGGTCCTCTATAAGAGTAGCCAGTGTTCTTAACTGCTGAACCATCTCTCCAGCCCCTCCTTCCAAATATTACTGTGCCTAACATATATATTTAATTTTTTCCATCTTATCTAATAATTATGGAAGATTTTCTCAGGTTTATAAAATACATGTATCTACAAATACTTTCTTCCCTTTAGGTTTCACTCAGAATCACCTTCGGCAAGTACAGTTGGACTACATAGACACCCAAACCTGCAATAGACCTCAAGTTTACAACGGTGCCATCACTACTAGGATGTTGTGTGCTGGCTTCTTAGAAGGAGAAAGAGATGCATGCCAGGTTTGGGCTTGCCTATTACTGTGCTGCATAATGTCTTATTCAACTTTTGGGAGGGAGCAATAATTATACACTCACAGGAAGCTGCATAGGCATCATAGAAGAGTAACACCTACTCTTTAAACATTTAATTTTATTTTTATCTTTGTATGTTTATGTATGTAGGTACAAATACATATACATATGTATGTATGTACAGTACACATGTGGATGCCAGAAAATAACTTCTGGGCATTGGCTCTCTCCTTCTACTATATGAGTTTCGGATCTTGAACTCAGAACTCCAGACTTCATAAGCAAGCACTTTTACTGGCTGAGCCTTCTTGGCTGTCCTGACACTTGTTATTTACTAAATTTTCCTCAATGGTTATGCTCAGACAACTATAATAAAACTATTGGTAAATATAAGTATGTAAAATCTAGTGAGTGGACAGTGGAGTAGATTGTGTGTTATGTGGTGTTCTGGCAGGTCCAGATTTGTGTAATGGCCACTGTAGTTAACATGGAGTCTGTCCCATCACCCAGGGAGCTACATTGAGTAACAATCTTGGCTTCCCTTTTTATCTTTAACATTAGGGCAATTGCTACTTTTTCCTCATATTCCAGAATGTTAAGTCAATAAAATCACAGTTGTTTCTTTAGGAATTCCATTTGATTCATCTGCTACTGCTATTATTTTTTTTGTAGGAAAAATTAATTAGTTCCTCTAAGTTACTTGTGCACATATATGTATGTGATATATCTCTTATCACAGTCCACTGGTATTTTATTGTTAAAACCTCATTTTAAAAAATAAATTTGTTCAATTTTATAATATAGTTTGATAGCATTGAGATCTCCAATCTGCACCTCTCCCCACTGCCCCTGACTTATGGACATATATATGTATATAAAATGGCCTACAGAATCTTATTTGTGTCCCCAAATATCCTTCAGTCAGTATGGGTCCATCCACTGGGCTCACCAAGAGTCCCATCCTTGTAAAATACTGTCTCTCTCTCTCCCAACAGCCATCAATTGCCAAAAGTTCTTAGGTTGGGTTGGGATTTCTTACCTGCTTCTTCATATTTAGGTTGGGATTTTGTCAGGTTTGAGCTTGCATAGGACTTGTGCATGGTGTCACCATTGCTGTGAATTCACGTGAGTAAATGGCCAGTTGCCTGGAAGACTCATCATATTTCCTTGTGGTCATCCATCACCTTTGGCTCTTACAATCTTTCTGCTTCCTCTTTTGCAGTAATCCCTGAGCCTTGAGAGGCAGAGGTTTGAAATAGGTGTATTATTCAGGGATAAGCATTCTGTGGCTTCTTGTTTTTTTGTTACATTGACCAATTTTGGGTTTCTGTGTTAAATCCCATTTGCTGCACAAGGAAACTTCTCTGGTGAGAACTGAAAGATGCGTTCATCCTATGTGTACAATTTGCATTGAAGATGTGTCACTTAGGGTTAAGCTTCTCACAGATACTTATTTTCTGAGTTTGACTACTTCTGGAACTCGGTAATAGTCTCTATCTTTTGTGAAAAGAAGGTTCTTTGATGAGGAGTTAAAGATACACTTATCTGTAAATATGAGAATGAATATTTAGAGTAAAGTAATAAATTATGTTAGCCTAGAATTGTAGCAAAAGTAGGCTTTTCTCAAGGATCTATGACCTCTCCAGCCATGTATATTTGGATATGTTTATAGCACCATACATGAGGTTCCTTCTAGTGATCAGGCCTTAATTCCAATTAGATAGGTATTAATCACCCCTCTACTGCATCAATAGCGATCGTTTGCTGGCCCAGTCATTGTTATTAGACTTTACAGATGCGTAAGACCCTTGATTAGTTTTCTCCCTTGGCAGCTTGTATAGAATCCTCTGATACCATGAAAGCTGGTCTTCAGGGAGGAGACTTCCACTTTTCCAAGTCAGTTCCAGCTCAATTTCTCCAAGCCCTGTGTCTGAAGTGTGGTCTGGGAGGTAATCAAGGGCTGTGTCCATACCCTGTGTTATTTTGTGAGTCTCTTGGACTGCCCTGACCAATAGCTTGAAGGGAGGTTTCTCCTGCTGGCACTGTGTTTTCTGTCATATAGCCTTCAGCTATACACATGTACTTGTATATTTATTGTATATGTATTTTTCAGTAGGACTTTGAACTAATACATTTTCCTCTAGTTTTTCATACCACCTAAGCATTATTTTTCTCTCTTCTCCCTCCACCTGTATAATCCTCACTACTCTCTCCCCAGTTAAAGTACTCCTCCTTTCCCCCATTTCCCCCTTTAATAACACCTGTCTGGTAGGAGACAGGTGGTATTGACATTTTATTAGCTTGAATGTAGAACAGAATAGAAAACTTATCTTCCTTTAAGATTTCTTACCTTTCTCTTAACTAAATATTAATAAATATAAGTATTAAATTTTTCTCTATGTGGGGAACCATATAGCTAAACTCAAGTGGAGAAGAAAAGTCTATGTACTCAAAGTTTTGTTCATTTTTCTTTCTAAGATTCCTTTTCTGTTTTAGAAATTTTCTTTCACTATTCTCTTTGTGCAGATACTCTGTTGACAAATTCTCTTACATCCTTTTTGTTTGTTAAATCATTTAGTCCTCCTTCATTTATGAAACATAATTTTGCAAGATACAGAATTCGAGATTGAGAGTTCTCTTGGTGCACTTGCATCATGGTGTCCTTGATAGGTGAGCAGACTCTGTTGTCCCCAGTATCGGTTTTCTTTGGCTGTGTTCAGCAGATTTTCTTTGTCTTTACTTTTCAGAAGTTTAATTGTGTGTCTTAGCATGCATTCCTTTGGTTTACTCAGTTTGGGATTTGCTCAGTGTTCTGAATCTATAGATTTATGTCATTTGCTGTATTGGGGAAATTTTCAGCTATTCTTTTTTTTTTAATATATTTATGAGCCCTACCTTCTTTCTTCCCCCTTTCTGGGATTTTAATGACAAAGGTGTTAAAATTCTTGTTACATGTTCATGAGCTTCTGTTCATTTTTATTTCTACTCACTTTCTCTGTTATGCAGATTAGGTGATTTCTTTGATTCTGACTTCATGTCCCTGTTCCTCCATCACTGCTGTTCTTCCAATAAGCTCACATACGGAGTTGTACAAATTTTCATTCTTTTAAAATTATTTTTTGTTTATTTTTATTTTGTGTGTATGAGTTTTATGCTTGCATGTACGTAAGTGCACCCGTGTTGCGCAGTGCCATCAGAGGACAGAAGACAGTATCAGATTTCCTGGAACTGGAGTTATAGACGGTTGTTAGCTGAAATGTGGGTGCTAGGATTTGAACCCAGGTCTTCTGCAAGAGCAGACAGTGTTCTTAACTGCTGAGCCATCTCTCCAGCCCCAAATCTTCATTTTTGTGTTTTAAAATTCCAGTATTTTCTTTATATTCATCTGGATTTTTTTTAAAAAAATGGCTGTTTTATGATCTTCCTCAAGTAATTCCGACACCATGTCACTGCAGAGCTGGTGTCTGTATATTGCCTTTGATATTCAAGCAGAGACTTTCATGGTTCTTCACAGGATGAATAACTTTCAGATGTGTTCTGAACATTTGACTTTATAAGACTTTATATGCAATTCAATCTTCACTTTAGCAGCTTCTGCTGACATTATACTGACAGGAGGAGGGTAGTGTAGGGGGAATATTGCCTCATACCCAGTCATCTTCTTTGACATCTGATAGAGGGTATGGCCTCATCGTGACTGCTTTTAGGTGGAATTTCAGGATTGTTATGGAACATCCTCCAATATCACTTTGACTGGAGCACTTTGTCGCTATTTCCCTGTGGTCTTACCTCCACTGACATCACAAGATAGTGGTTTCATTACTACTTGGCATTGGTGAGGAGTTCTGACTACCCAGCTATATCTTCTCTGAGATCTCCATAGTGGGAAGAGAATCATGCCACATATTTCTGAGCCATGACTCTCTGTGGTGACTATAGAGGTGGTAAGAGAGGACTTTACTGTCCCCTAGCAGAATTAAAAATTTGGGTGCCACTCAGCCTGCTCTGACACCAGTGTTGGGGAGGAACTGGCCTTCATACAGCCTGACCAACACTGAAATCCACTCACTTGACTTTGGTGAAGTGCTTAGGATTTCTGTCTTCCCTGGCTGCCCAGGTTCTTGTACTAGAGAGAACAGATTTTTCTTGGGGCTTTTAAATTTAAATAAAAAAATAATCTATGCATCCTCACAGGTCAGTATCTTGGTGCCATTATTAACTTCAAATATGGAGATTAAGCAAAGCAATTCACTGCTGTATTGTCTTGAGCCCTGAGCAAGTGCTTTCTTCTTTCTGTCTGTTTTGTATTTGTTTTATTTTTAATATCCATTATTATTTCTTTGCCCATATTTAATCTTTCATTTCCATCTATTCCAAAGCCATTTCCGTTAGCATGTTTTAAGTTGCTAGTATGAGGTAAAATTTGTATAATTGTCATCTCAGGCTCGGTAGGAGCCTGAATGCTAACCATTTTGTTTCTCATTTGTATTATGGTTGATCATTATCAGTGTCTTCACTTGCATTTCTTTCACATGTAATCAATTAAATCCTAGAATATTTCCTTACTTTATCATTTATGTTAAGTTCACATATTTCATGTTTATTTTCTTCCTATCTCTCTCTTAGCGCTGTAATTTATTCGTTCATATCTTAGACTACAGCCACTTAGCTTGGCTTCTTCTGACTTTGAAGCTTCCTGTTATGAGGCATGCCTTCCTGAATAAACTTCCAGTTCTGTTTCTTAGTAAACTGTTTATTAATTTATGGGAGAAATATAATTTGTGGGAAAAATAGGGCTAAAGATAGACAGATCCCTCCTTTTGCTGATGGAGAATTAGCAATCATAATATTTGAGAAGCATACTTAAATTTTTAATATAATTAGTGTATATGTGTCTCCGTGTATTTGATGTGTATGTATATGGGGGAGTGTGGGAGTATGCATAACAGGGCTCACATGTCAGGGTCAAAAAGCCAAATTTCTGGCATTGGTTCTTTCTTTCCATCATGGGAACTAGGAGTTCAACTGAGGTCCTCTGGCTTTCTTCTCAAATGCTTATATTCACTGAGCCATCTTTCCAGTTCTCAAGTTACTTTTCTTATTCATTTATTTATCATTTATATGTATGAATATTTTGCCAGCATGTATGTAAATGTATCATGTGGTACCTGTGGAGGTCAGAAAAGGGTATAAGATTCCCTGTAACTGGAGTTACAGATGGTTATGAGTCAACATGTGGTCTTGGAACCAAACTGGAGTTCTCTGCAAATGCAGCAAGTGCTGTTAATTTTTGAACCATCTATATAACACTCCCCTCCCAAGTTATTTTTAAAAGCAGCAAATACTATTTGGGGGATTTACTGGGCTATGATGCCTGCCACCAAGCCTGATGACCTGAGTTTGATCTCCAGGACCTACATGGTAAGAGAGATCCATCCCCCAAAGTTGCCCTTTTACCTCCAACAGGAGCATCATCACCTGGTGCATCCCACACATAAAATGTAATAAATAATAGTGTAACTTGGACACTGAACAGACTGAAAACCCAGGCACTGGTAGCTGATTCAGAGGAAGTGAAAACAACAGGAATAACACAGTGGGAAAGTGGCTTGTTGGTCCTAATACACTGCACATGGAAGAGCAGTTGGAGCAAAGGAGGATGTTCAGGCTCCCAGGATACAAGCATGCAGCAAGTTTGGAGTGCACCTCTTTAAGGAGAGGCTTCTAGGTATAGGCCCTTTAACTTTTCCTGAAAATAGACCTCTGAAGGCTTCTGCTGTGCAATACCTGAGCTAAAACGTTTCTCTGCTTCTGAAGATCACAGTGCTACTATTGTTCTTATTCTTTTGCCTAAAAAAAAACCTACATGTAACTATTATTTTTTTTCCATGCTAATATATCTCCACTATTCACCAATCAAATGTAAGCTAACCAGCTTTACTAGAACAGACTGGGTGTTTCTCTATTTGATACAAGCTGACATTACTTTTCTTTAACTTTTAATATTTTCATATAACTGGATCTTTTTTTTTACAATTACTTTATTCTCAGGGTCATTTGCTCCTTTAAACTTATATAAGCTTTTTTTTAAATCCCTGCCATCTTCTGTTTGTTCCTCTTATTCTTCTCTGCCTCCATTAGTGTTCAGTTCTATTATCAAGATTCCTTATTTTCAGATTGCTTTATTGGTATATCTTATTTCTATAAAAAAATTTAGGTTCTTGGAAGGCAGGGCCCATATATTTATACTCTGTTCTTTACCACATAACAGGACATCATTGGTGATTTATTGGTTAATTAATTTTAAAATACAAACCCATTATCTTACATTTGGTTATTATTAATAGTTTGCTTTTTAAAATTTTATTTCAATTTAATTTGTGTGTGTCAGAGGGAGAGAGAGAGAGAGAACGGGTGTGGATGTGTACATGCATGTATGTGTACATGCACATGCAACAGTGCTGTGGGGATCAGAGGGGGAAACTATGGGAGTTGATTATCTTTCAGCATGTGAATCCCAGGGATGGAACTCAGGCTCTCAGACTTGGTGGCAAGCACATTTAGGTTCTGGGCCATCTCGCCTGCTTATGTTATTAGTTTTATAAAAATAAAAGGAAATTTATAGGAAACAGTTAACTATGGGAAAAATATCAAAGATTATAAGTCAATCAGGTTCTACCACTGATTAGATTTTAGGCAAATAATTTCTCTGTTTCAGTTTCCTTATTTAAACCAGAAGGCAGAACCTAATTCTATGTTTTGTTTCAAGAATCACATGACCAATGAAACAGCATGTTAATTAATTAAAAACATCACAGGGGCCTGGAGAAATGGCTTAGTGGTTAAGAGGTCTTCCTGCTCTTGCAGAGGACCTGAGTTCAGCTCCCAGTATCCACACTGGGCAGCTCACAACTGCCTGTAATGCCATCTCCAGGGGGATTTCACACCTCTGGCCACCCATGGTACCTACAGTCATGTACACACACACACACACACACACACACACACACACACTCAGAGTTAAGAGTAAAATATTTATTTTAAAATGGCATCACAGGGGGCTGGAGAGATGGCTTGGTGGTTAAGAACACTAGTTGTTCTTGCAGAAGACCCGGGTTCAAATCCCAGCACCCACATGGCAGCTAACAACTGTCCATAACTCCAGTCTCAGGGGATCTGATGTCCTCTTCTGTTCTCCACAGGCATTGCATGACACGGGTGCACTTACCTACATGCAGGCAATACACTCATACACATAAAATAAAAATAATAAATAAAAAATTAAAATAGCATCACAAAGTGTTAAATATGTATGAGTGGTCAATATTCAGAGGAGAGCCTGTAGGATGCTTAGCTGACTCATTGTTCTTATGATCTGAATAAAGAAATACAACTCCAAGGTTTGTAAGATACAAACAGTATTTGTGGCTTTATGTATGCGTTCTCTACATTTTGCTCTGAACTAGCTGTACTCACTGTCTTAACCTTCATATTAGCCAGCAGAGTTATTAAGAGTATTTCAAATAAGTAAATTAAAGGTCTTAGTGAGCTTGGAAGGCTCAGATCTGAGATTGAACCTCAGGTGTCTGACTATGATGTCTGTGTCCCTTATCAGTAATAGACTCTTCGCCCCTTTCTGTTGAGTCATATCACTCTTTTAAGGTGGCATCATGAATGAGGAGTGATCTTGTCAGCTGCATCAGATAATTCCAGTGCTCTGTTCTTCAATTACACAAAGCTTTCAGTCTCAGTGTACTGAAACCTGAGGCCAAGCCAGTCCCCAAGTATCAGAGCTCCTCCTCTATGGGGGTAACAGGCACAGGCACAGTCGCTTGTGTTTGAACATGCTGAAGACTTGAAAATGAATAGTTTTGTTATATTCTTAACTTGGAAAAATAGCAAATTCTTTTGTAGTGAACTGAATTAAAAATTACTAACCTCTCTATTTTCCCTTAGGGTGACTCTGGAGGACCACTGGTTGCTTCAGATGCTAGAGATATCTGGTACCTTGTTGGAGTAGTGAGCTGGGGAGATGAATGTGGTAAACCCAATAAGCCTGGTGTTTATACTAGAGTGACTGCCTTCCGGGACTGGATTACTTCTAACACTGGTATCTAAGAAAGAAAAACCCAATGGGATTAAATGGCTGCTTTTGTCTATAGGCCATTTTTAGAGACACACAACTGTAGAAGAAGCCTTTGAAATTACATGGATCTGATGTGTAATTTCCGTGAGGTGTCATGGAATAACCTGTTGGATGCTGTTTCCTTCCCAGCTCTGCTCCGCACAGGAGCATATTGCTGCTGCCAGATGGACTCTGCCAATATAAGTTCATTTATTTTCTAGAAGTTTACAGTTATCAAAAATTTAACTTGGTGATTCGGTTACTCATATGTATACACAACTTGAAACAACCAACCTTTTCATTCATTTCTTTAACTTCTCTCATATAGTAATTTCTACTTTCGGCATCTGGAAAAAGAAATGAAATAAAATATAAAAAGAAAAACAGCTATACTTTTTGTGTACAGAAAACAAGAGGTTTCTCTTTGGAATGTAGAAAATTATCTTATTGAACATAAGAGATCAAACAAGCAGAAACAACAGTAAACCACTCAAAAGTTCACGATGGAGAATAAGTCGAAGGAAGAGAGAAACTAATATATAGATTTATTTTTATTCCAAACAGCTACCAAAATCAACATGAGAAGAATTTTTCTTGTGACTACAATAACCACACAAACTCTTTGCAATGAGCTTGTTCTGAACAATTTAAAGTAATCAACATTTATTTAACACTGTCCTGCTGAGGGTGTCAATATATAACAATAATGGAAAAGGCAAATAATCTCTTTACTTAACATTATAACATGATAATCCATGAAGAAGTTAAGGATAGGGAAAATGCCACTAGTCAATTTACTAAAAATTCTCTTAAAAGAGTAGATTAAAAGTTTATTTCAGAATAAGCAGCATGCCTTATATAGTAAAATAATTATATAGTTGAATGGGATGGAATGACTGATGCAATTATCATTAGCCTGTCCCAAACTACAGACTTTGACAGCAATAAGTTTCAGGCATTGGTATGCAACTGTAGTCATGTTACTGGTTAGGCCTTAGTTGGCACCTTTGAGATGATAGCAGATAATATGCTCCTAGGTCTGTGCATGTAAAATGACCTTGTTAGATGCATCTATGCTGAGATCTTGTTGCACTCATCTGGGACGGTATCACAAGGAAGCATCCTGGGTCTTTGCTGTATCTCGCATCACGTTGAATTGCTATCAGCTGGAACATAAGACTGAAGAGCAAAATTTACCAATATTGGCCACCTTTTTAATTTCAGTTATTACTGAGCCATTAGACATCCAATATTTAAGAGACTTAGACCATAATAAAATTAGGGCTGGTGTCATAGACTATGACCTGTTAATGATAAGATTTCACTGAGACTTGAGCAATTCTTTTCTCATTGTATACAGACTATAACATATACAGAGCATATTGTAGCATATGATAGCCTCTTTGAAAAGCAACATCATCAGGAAAATGTTAACTTTCATCAATGCAAATAATATTCATGTATGAACTGATAAAATTGAAACACTTGTACTAAAGTATCACATGTAATCTTGCATAAAACATCAGTGTTAAATATTTTGCATAATTTTTGCTCTGTTTAATAAACTCTTCAGGGGATAATAATAATATCATGAACTGGAAACAGAAAGAACACCATTGGAAAAACTGCATAATTTTCAGTGATTAAAATTTGATTCCTGAAGTATATTCTGCAATTGAGCCCTTAGGTGGCGCCCTAAAACTGTGAGAAGTTACAAGGAAGGCCATCTGAATTTAAGAATAGTGTGGTATTTTCAAGATACAATGACAACAGTCATCAAAATTCTGCATCGGTCTCTTATAAGCCACAGAATAAAATTTACCTTTGAAAAATGTATTTATAAATGAATTTATGTTCATTGATGTCATTTCTTAGTATTTTTCAGATTTCTGGAATTTTGGTTCCAAACTAAAAACATGTATGTTGCATTTGAGAATTTGAGAATCTCTCTCTAAAAACAAACATTTAGGGATTTAGATTCAAGAGAAACTTTAGAAGTTTGATTTCTGTAATGTTGTTATGTTCCTCAGAGAAAGAATTTTAGTATTTCCTTCTACCAAAGACTTAAGGAATCAAGATTTGGGTCATAGCAAAAAATAGACAGTTGTTAGAACTTCATGTGAAGTAAGCAATAAAGTATCATATTCTTAAAATAGTGACTTCTTTGAAAAAGAATATAAAATGATTTTAGTATTCTTTAGGATATCAATGTTAACCATTTCATTGGAGAGGACAATGACTGCAATATCTATTAAATGTAGAGAAAAGTGGCAATTTCTCCTCCATATCTTTTATCTTTTTCCCCATACCACCTTATAAAGTTTTTCCCATGATAATTTTTCAATAAGCATTCTTGAATAGCTCTTTTATTTTTGAACTATGCAGAAAGCATAGCATTCTTTCCACAGTCATGTGCCATACAATGATATTCCTATCTATGACACACCACATATACGATGGTACCCCCATAAGATTACAATGGTGCTAAATAATTCCTCTCACCTTACAGTTGTTGTGACCACCAGAATGCTGTAGTGCACTGCATTATGAATGTGTTTCTAGCATAACTGGTATGAATAGTCCACTACACTGTCAGTCATGTGAAAGATATGAATAGAATTATGTATAATCCACAATACTTAATGATGATAATAAATAACCACAACAACAGTTCATGTGTTTGGTATTCTGTACTTTTATTGTTACTTTAGGAAGTACTCCTACTTTTAGAAAATGTTTACTGTAAAACATTGTGCCATGTTATATTAGGAGCAGCATCATACATCTTCTGTCCAGTGATAGCTTATACTGCTTACGGTTGTGTATGTGCTGTGATGTTCACCAGTGCATATGAAACAAACATCCTGATGATGCTGTTTTTCAGAACGTGTCCTGTCAGAAAACAACACAGGTCTGTATTTACATATTGTTTTAAAAATGATCCCAGAATTTATACTAACTGTGCAACTGAAGCTAGTTATGTAAGTATTCTAAGTCTGAATCACTCACCTGTAAGGCAGTGAGACTATTTATTCACATGGTTGCTCTTGTAATTAAAAAATGTCTGAGAAACGCTTAGCATACTTTCTTAGATTCTCATTGATGTTCAACAAATGGTAGCTATTATAACTGCCACTCTAATTATTTATCAGTCTCATTTTAAACAATATGGTGTATAATAATAAATTGGCCACATTTTTGAAACAAATAAATAATTAAACCAACAGAATGTGCTGTTTTCTTGTTAATTATTATTTAACAAAAGATTTGGATCATGTCAAAAGATAATAGTCAAGGTGGACTATTGTGAGGGCTTGCTGCAGTTTTCAGCTCACTTTTTTAAAATGATAAATTACTGACCATAATTTATGGACTAAAGCATAGTCCATCTTGTTTATTTTTATTAATTCTTGGATTTATTTACTTTTATTTTGTGTGTATCAGTGTTTTGCTTGCATGTGTATGAGTGCACCACATTTGTAAAAAACCTGGAGAAGCCAGAAGAGGCCATTGAATCCCCTGGAACTAGAGTTACAGATGAATGTCAACCACCATATGGGTGCTGGGAACAGAATCTGGGTCCTCTGAAAGAGCAGCTGGTGTTTTTAATCATTGAGGCATCTCTCCAGAGTCTACTTTATATCCCTCTATAAACACCTCCTTTGACTCAAGTAGGCAACATTTTCTTCTGAGATTCCTTACTATTATAAAACCCTTTCTTAACCTTGTAACTAGATTTGCGCTTCATATAGACATATGATGTTCTAAAGAACAATCCTGTGCACCTGCCTTTGGTTTTCAGCAATGGCAAAGGTAGCATTCTGCTTAGCTCTCATACAACAAGGAGCCAGCCACATCACAATTAGGAAGTTGACATTAAGACCAACCTGTCAAATTCATCCAGATTTTACCAGCTTGAAAATATCATAATTGTGTGCTTAAGAATATTTTTGTTTCTACATAATTTTGTTACTCATGTCATCTGTGTGACCACCACAGCAGTCAAGATGAGTGACACAAGGATCTCTCATGCTGCCTATAGACATCTGGCTCCTCTCTACCTTAGGCCTAATCCTGGCAATCATTGATGAGGTCTCCATCTGTGTAATGTTGTCATTTCAAGAACTGTATGTAAATAGAATCGTACAGTACACGATCTTTGCATGCTGGCTTTATCGCTTGATATAAACACCTGGAGGGCCATGCAAACTGCTGTGTGTCAACTGCCCATTCTTTTTCCTTGCTGAGTAGTACAGCACAGTATGTTTGTACCTCAGTTTGTTTATTTGTACACTGAAGAGCATTCTGCTTTCTTTTTAAGTTTAATGTTGCTACAATTAAAATTGCAGTAATAGTGAGAATTGCTACATGCGTGCTTTTCTGTGAATACAAATTTTGTTTCTCTGAGACTTAATGGCCTGGTACAATTGCTATTTACAATGGTAAATGCATATTTATCTTTTCAAGAAACCTGGATTTTTTTAGATGGTTCCTTGCCATTTTTAATCTTTCAATATCCTTACTCCGAATCTATGTGATTTAGATTTTTCCGAGTACATGTGATTTCAATAACTGTAGTATCAGCTTCACAAGGGGCAGAGACATAACTAATCCATGTTTTTATCTTTCACACTTCATAATAATGAGTATTGTTATACTGTTGGTGGCAAATGTTCACTATATATTTACTAATAAAAAATAAGGAGGTTGCTTTTTCTATGTACATGAAGAAAGGCCCAGGTATTTTAGTTGAGACTGCACTGAATCTGTAGATTGCTTTTGGTAATATGGTTGTTTCCACATTATTACTCTTGTTAATCTATGAGCACGGGAGGTCTTTGTATCTTCTGGTGTTTTCCTTAATTTCTTTCTCCAGGGCCTTGAAGTTCTCATTGTCGATGTTGTCGATGTCTTTTGTTTTGTTTTGTTTTGTGTATTTAACATGTGGAAGCTAGACAACTAGAAATGGACCCCTGGCAGGACAATGCATTTA